TGCCACTTTTTGACTGTCATGAATAATGCTGCTATGAACATTCCTGCACGGGTTTTTTTTGTGTGAGGACTTATGCTTTTATTCTCTTAGTTATGTACTTCTGTGTGGAATTGATGGGTTATATGGTAACTATGTTTAACATTTTGAGGAACTATCAGACTGTTTTTCAAAGTGGCTCCACCATTTTATAATCCTACTAGCAATGTACCAATGCTCTAATTTTTCTACATCTTTGTTAACACTTGTTATTTTCTGTCTTTTTTATTTTAGCCATCCTAGTGGGGTGAAATAGTATCTCATTGTGGTTCTTATTTGCATTTCCCTAATGACTAATATACTGAGCATCTTTCCATGTGCTCATTGGTGATTCGTACATCTCCTTTGGAGAAATATCTATTGAAGTCCTTTGCTCACTTTTTTAATTACTATTTTTACTTGTGATAAAATATTCATAACATAAAAGTTGCTATCTTAACCATTTTTAAGTGTACAGTTCAATGGTATTAAGTACATTCTCATCATTGTGCAACTACCTCCAAAACTCTTTTCATATTGCAGAGTTGAAACTCTAAGCTCATTAAACATTAACTCCCTATTTCCCTTCTCCCCCTGTCTCTTGCTGTTTCTACAAATTTAACTACTCTAGGCACCCCGTATAAATTGAATCATATAATATTTGTCCTTTTGTGACTGGCTTATTTCACTTAGCATAATGTCTCAAGATTCATCCCTATTGAAGCATGTGTCAGAATATCCTTCCTTTTTAAGGCTGAATAATATTATGTTGTATGTATATATCACATTTTGTTTATCTGTTCATCTGTTAATGGACACTTAGGATACCTCTACCCTTTGGCTATTGTGAATATGCTGCTGTAAACATGGATATATGAATATCTGTCTGAGTCACTGCTTTCAGTTCTTTTGGATATATACCAAGAAATGGAATTGATGGACCATGTGGTAATTTCATTTTTAATTTTTTTTTAGGAACCGCCCCACTATTTTCTATAGCAGCTGCACTATTTTACATTCCCACCAATAGTGTACAAGGGTTCTAATTTATTCACATCCTCACCAACATTTGTTATTTTCTCCTTTTTTTTTTTTTTACTACTAGCCATCCTAATGAGTGCGAAATGGTTTTTCATTGTGATTTTGATTTTCGTTACCCTAATGAAAATCATTAGTCATTAGTGATTGTATTAGTCAGCTCTGATTGCCATTATAAGTACCACAGACTGGGTGGCTTAAGCAACAGAAATTTATTTCTCACAATGCTGGAGTCTGGGAAGTCCAAGATCAAAATTCTAGCTGATTTGGTTCCTGGTGACAACTCTCTTGCTGGCTTTCGGATGGCTGCCTTATCTGTCCTCACATGGAGGAAAGAAAGTGATCTTTCTCTCTTTATCTTCTTCTAAGGCCACCAATCTTATTGGATTAGGGCCTCACCCTTATGACCTCATTTAACCTTAATTATCTCCTAAAAGCCTTCTCCAAATATAGCCACATGAATTTTGGAAGGACACAATTCAGTCCATAGCAGTGATGTTGAGCTATGTGCGTATTGACCATTTATCTGTATAGTCATGCTCCACATAATGATGTTTTGGTCAATGACAGACTGCATGTATGGCAGTGGTCCCATAACATTATAATGGACCTGAAAAATTCCTATCACCTAGTAATGCCATAGCACAACCCATTACTCACATGTTTGTGGCGATGCTGGTGTAAATAAAACTACTGCTCTGAGAGTCATGTAAAAATATAGCACATACGATTATGTACAATTATGGTTAATGATAACAAATGGTTATTTTGCTGGTTTATATATTTACTATATATACTTTTTATCCTTATTTTAAAGAGTACTCTTTCTACTTATAAAAAAAGTTTGCTGTAAAACAGTATGCCATGATATGCTGGCAGCAGCCTCATACATCTTGTGTTACTACAATTTTGGTTTGCATCATTTTCTTTTGTGCTTCATTTAATCTTATGTTGTTTTGTATAGTAACATGCTATACAGGTTTGTAGCCTAGGAGCAATAGGCTATACCATAAGCATAGGTGTGTATTAGTTATATCATCTAGGTTTGTGTAAGTGTACTCTATGATGTTTGCACGATGATGAAATTACCTAATGACGCATTTCTCAGAATGTATCTCCATTGTTGAGCAGTGCATGACTATATATCTCTTTTGGAAAAATGACTTCAGTTCTTTGTCCATTTTTTTTCTGTATGGGATTTTCTCATAGAGAAATTGAATTTCGTCCTTACAGTCAAAAAGAAATCAACTGGAATTGTATTTAACGATGAAGTCAATAAAAGTTACATAAATCATGTGATCTTCAAAGTCTTTGTAAATGTCTTTTTGAGTATTTTGTTTTGAATATTAAGATTTTCTTGTGAAATACAAAATTTCAGGTTATGTTTACTACAATACTTTCTCCTCAATTTGTTACAGTTTGTATGATCAAATTTATCATTTGGAAAACTAATATTGTATTGTAAGTGGCTGCTTAAAGTCACTAAGAATTATAGTGCTTTCCAAAGCCCTTAGGCCCTTTTTGTGACTGAAAATCAAGTTGTTCTTTTCTTTTTAAAAAAATTTTTATTTATTTAAGATAAAAAAAAAGCCAACTCACCCATTTCTCCTACTCCCCACCTCCTGTCTTTTGCAACCACTAATCTATTCTCTGTGACTATGAGCTTGTTTTTTTATTGTTGTTTTTGATTTTTAGATTTCATGTATGAGTCATACAGTATTTGTCTTTGATTTATTTCACTCAGCATAATGCCCTCAAGGTCCATCCATATTGTTGCAGATGACATGATTTTATTCTTTTTATGGTTGAGTAATATTCCATTGTGTATATATATATACCAAAATTCCTTTATCCATTTATCCATCAATGGACACTTAGGTTGTTTCCACATCTTGGCTATAGTAAGTAATGAACACAGGGGTGCATACATCTCTTTGAATTAGTGTTTTCATTTTCTTCGAATAAATACCCAGAAGTGGAATTGCCAGATCATATGGTAGTTCTATTTTTAGTTTTTTGAGGGAACTCTAAACTCCATACTGTTTTGCACAGTGGTCGCACCAATTTACAATCCCACCAACAGTGCGCAAAGATTCCCTTTTCTCCATGTCATCTCAAAAACTTATTATTTCTTGTCTTTTTTTGATAATAGCCATTCTAATAGGTGTGGTTTCATTTCATTATGTTTTTATTTGCATTTCTCTGATAATTAGTAATGTTGAGCATCTTTTTTTTTTTTTGTATCCATTTACACTATTTATATCTTCTTTGGAAAGATGTCTATTCAGACCTTCTGCCCGTTTTTTAACTAGTTAAACAATTTTTTTTTTTTTTTTTTGCTATTGAGTTGTATGAGTTCTCTATATATTTTGGATACCAGCCCCTCAGCCCCTTATCAGATATACAATTTGCAATTATTTTCTCCCATTTAGTAGATTGCCTTTTGGTTTTGTTGCAGAAGCTTTTTATTTTTATATAGTCTCATTTGTTTATTTTTGCTTCTGTTGTTTTTGCTTTTGGTGTCAGATTAAAAAAATCATCACCAAGACTTATGTCAAGGAGATTACCACCTATCTTTTCTTCTAGGAGTTTTATGGTTTGAAGTTCGACATTTTTTAATCCATTTTAAGTTAATTTTTGAGAGTGGTGTAAGATAGACTTCCAGATTCATTCTTTTGCAGGTCTAATTTTCCCAACTCCATTTATTGAAGAGACTATCTTCTCCCCATTGTATATTCTTTGTGGTAAATTAATTGACTGTGTAAGTGTGAGTTTATTTCTGGGCTCTCTATTCTGTTCTATTGATCTATGTGTCTGTTTTTATGCCAAACCATACTGTTTTAATTACCATAGCTTTGTAATATAGTTTGAAATCAGAAAGCATCATGCCTCCAGCTTTATTCTTTCTCAAGATTGCTTCGGCACTTCAACCATTTTTAATTTGGCTTGTTTGTTTTTTTGTTGTTGAGTTGTAAGAGTTATTTATATATGCTGGATACAAGCTCCTTTCCAAATATGTGATTTTAAGATATTTTCTCCCCTTCTGTGAGTTGTTTTTTACTTCTTGATAATAACCTTTAAAGCATAAAAGATTTTAATTTTGGTGAAGTATCATTTATTTTTTATTCTGTTGCTTGTTCTTGTGGTGTCATATCTAAGAAGTTGTTACCTAATTCAAAGTCATGAAGATGTACTCTTGTATTTTCTCTAAGAGTTTTATAGTTTTAGCTCTTACATTTAAATTTATAATCTATTTTGGCTTAATGTTTCATATCATATATTTCTTTTTAATCTTTAAGATCATAGTAGTTTAGAATATTCTTTACTAGTTTAGATATGAAAAAATTAGTAAAGAGGTTTTTTTTGGTTGTTTTTTTTTAGGAGTCTTCTTAAAAAGATGATCACTGACTCATTGCAGACATGGGACATCATATCTATTTATACCATCAAAAATATACCTCATCTGCATAAGCTAATTCAGTGTGTTTTATAAGAAGAGAAATTCAAACATAAGGTAACTTAGGAATGGCTGCCAATAGCAGCTGAGATAACACTCATTAAAAGAGTATGAATAATATCTTGATTACAAGTAAAATCTTGGTTTCATCTTTTTAGCCCCAAATTGGCTAAGACTACATATCATTTTTTAGTCTGATTAATGGCAAAGTAACTAATTAGAGTCAGAAAGAGATTAGCAAATTATTCAAGATGTCAAGTGCAGTCAAAGTGCCATTTTGTCATCGATAATATAGTAAAGCTCATAGCGACAGGTGTGTATAATAAATAGGAACTGAAAATACTCAGATCTTGAATTGTCAAGGTAATGTTTTTAAAATCAGCATTATTTAGATTTGATTTTTTTTTCTCTGAATTATCATACTGTAGAATTGGGCTTTGGTTTAACTGACATGCTAATATTTGGTGTGTATTTTCTTTTTGCTTTGCAGGATGTACAGAATCAAAAATTAAAGACAAGCATATGGTACTGTGAGGTAAATGATTGTTTCTTTCCATGCGTACTGCACTCTTGATCTTGATCTATTGAAAAATATTATTATTTTAAGGAATAGATATTATCTTTGTGTCAACAGTTCCTTAGATCTGCGACAAACCTAATTTATTAGAATTCATATCATTGTATGGCCATAATTTCTGGTTGGGTCTACCATCTTTAGGAGTTCGATGGGAAACTTTCTCTCCTAATAATAGTACCAGCAGGCTGATCAATTGGGTTATTCAACCAAATCCCCCTTCAGTTCTTTAATAAGGTTGACATTTCCTCTTTTTGACAAGTTGCCTTTTGGGCTACTCCTAACAGGTTTGGGATGATGAATTTTTATCCTGGAATTCCAGAATGTTTGATGATATTAGAGAGATATCCCTACCTCTAAGTGCCATTTGGGCCCCTGATATCATCATTAATGAATTGTCAGTGTGCCAGGTATATTTCTGTGGGGTTTAGACTGCTAGGAATATTCAGGCCATTTTCTGCCTATTTTTACTCATTGTTGCTATTTTTTGTTTCTCAGCTTGAAGAAGAGCATATTGTTAGGAATATTCCAGTTAAAATATCATGAGTTGACATCATTTATGATACAGATTTGATTATTAGAGCTTAAGGTTACTCATGGATTTTTTTTTGTGTTATAATGGTAGCAAGTGAGTTAATTTATGAGGTTGTCATTGCTGCATTCACCCATCTTCGCTACAATGAATAATCTCAGGGAGAAGTGAGTCTGTCCTTGCACTTCTAGGCTATTCGTGGGTGTCACGGACACTATCATCTCATAATCAGTTCCATGTATTGAACCATCCAAAGCTCTCTGTGTAACAACGAGGTCTTTTGTGTTTCATATAGCATGAACATTGAAAGATTACCTGACCTTCCTTATGTTTATGTGAGCTCATCTAGGACCATTAAGAACTCCAAGTTCATCCAGGTGGTCTCTGCATGCAGTTTAGAGACATATGCTTTTCCATTTGATATCCAGAATGGCAGCCTAACCTTCAATAGCATTCTACACACAGATAAACTGTGAGAGGTACAGTCTTCTTGTGGGAAACATACCTGTGATGAGTTGGCACGCATAGGTGAAATTTTATTATGCCACTTCTCAGGTTTATTCTTGCATATAATTGACTTTTTACAAATCGAAATCTCTTTTTGTAGTTACTTAGCTCCTGCTGTAACTCAGACCAAATATAGAGTTGTGCCCAGATGTATAGCCTATTGCAGCTGTTGGTTTGGGAATACAACATTAGGCCTCTACTGCCACTGGGAACATTATAAAAGTCACATGAGCAGCTCCATCATTCTATGAATAGTGGAATCTAAACCCTATATTCATAGTTGGTATTTTTTTTTCATGGCTAGAAAGATTTTATTTCACAACTCTACCCATAATTCAAAACGGTTATATTGAATCCCATCTCAGCAAGACTGTACATGTAGAGGCAGGAGTAAAAGGAAGGATTTGATGTTGGTGCTTCTCTCTCTATGTGGAAGTCAATTGTTTCTGTAGTTTTCAGTGGAAAATGTAGACTTAGCCTTCTTGAGGAGCAGAGAAGACATTAAGCATGACAAAAAGTCATTGTTGAATGATAGTGTGTGGGAGCTTTTTTCTGTGTCCTCAACATACAACATCCTGCAGAGCAGCGGTGGACATTTTTCACTGATTCAGTTTCACGTGGGTCTTTCACCTTCCTGTCCCTGTTGCCTACTTCTCTGAAATCTTTGGCTTTCTCTGCTGAGAAATCTCTGCTCTGTTGCATATTCTCATTCATTATCATCTAAGAACTGCCGATACAGATGGCTCTGGACATCCACTTGCATTCTGGCTTTTCAGAGACCACAGGTTTATTCACAGATCCTGAACTTCTGCTATCGATTCTCCATGTGTGAATATGAAGAGAATGCTTTTCAAACGCCAGACACCTGAACCCCTCCAGCACAGTAGGAATCCTCAAGCCTTTCAGTACATGCTAACATCCTCACTTCCAATTGCTTCTGAGAGAAAACAAAAAAACGAAAAGAAAACCCACGCACAACAATAAGAAATTGGGAGAAGAGTGTCTCTTCAACATTATTGTACTGTTTTTAACCGAGTAAATTATTAATTCCAGATGCAGATGCATAAAATTACCATATTACTAACTTGAATGTCTTGAGGGGTTAACTAACAAATCACCTGCAGGATCGTCACAGACCACTGGTGGTTTCCAGATCAGAGAGAACAACTTCTCTTAAAGGATGTGATGAAAACCCAAACTTCTCAGATGCACCACCAGGAATGCTCTTGGTTGCACTGTTCACAGAGAAATTTGTCCAGCAGGGCCCTGGCTGGGGGCGGGGAGGAGGAGTGGTTAGGACACTGAAACTGCCTTGCACTTCCAGGACAGCCATTCTCCCTTCCCTGACCCTCCTGGCAAACCATCCTGATATGAAGGCTGCAGCAAGTTCATGCAACCAGTAGATTCACTTTATTAGTATTCAGCTCCACTTTTCTGCACAAAATCAGCTAGTGGTGATAGTATTTGGAAGGAGGAGGGAATCCTTTATGCCAGGTAATAGATTTGATTGAAAAATAGAGACTATAGACAGATCAGGATTGCACACAGATGAATTCTCCTGAAAGTAAACCTTTTGAATAAGAAGGAAAATTCAGACTAGACTAAGGCACTATGGTTACAATGGATAATTATAAGCTAAGGGGTTGTGGTGATGAAATAAGCTATTATCGAGGGCACAGATGCCCCTCCATTGGTTAAAAGTGTTGTATGCAGCTTTCCAGCAAAGCTCTTGTTATAGTGGAGCCTCTTAGAAAAAGCTGTAGTTTGAACCTGACTAATGTATAACTCTGAGTACTAGCTAATTGCAACTCATACCTTCCTAGTAGTGGGGTTTAGGTTCTTACCTATTCTGCTTGGGGTTTAGCAAAGCTTGCATTGTGGCTTGTTTGTCCACTTTTTTTAGCGAGAGGATGGGAGGGGAAAAAAAGAAAGCTTTTTTAATTTCAATGAGTTTCTTGGCTAAGAGTAAACACCTCATTAATTTTAAAGATATCAGCCTGCAAACATTATTAATGCAGCCCGAATAATGGAGAGCATTAAAGGCAAATGTGAGGGAGTAGCACGTGCAAGGTGGAAAACAGTCACCTACCAAGCACTCTGGAGAACGCTGCACACACCATTACCTACACTGCACGGAGACGAACAAAGGCAAAAGATGGGGCTGGCAAACAGGATCATGCGCGTGCTCGTTCTCTCTCTCTCTCTCTCCATAGTGCAGCCATTATTTGTAGATACATGTCACCTTTCACCCTAAATACTAATTTGCCTTTTCAACAGTGGGCAAAAGGTTTTCTATGTACTAGTTCCATTTTAAATATGATGAGCTGAGGCATAAACAATTAAAGAGAAGGCTTCCCTAGATCTCAGGAAACAGGGTCTCAATACTTTGTTCTCTTCACTGCCATGCTTTTTCTCCATTTACTGGAGGTGGGCAGAGATACGTTTTATGCTCTCAGAGCTTTTCCTTCGATCCCTTTGCCCTGGTGGCTGTGGTAGGTTATCCAGCAGGGCTAGATTCCACCCAGGCCTTCTGGAACAGAGTAGGGAAGGAATCTTGAGTAGAGTCATAGATCATATTTGGTAGGACAGGGAACCAGACTTAGGAGCTTAAAGAAGATTCAGTGACTATCATAGTTCTTTGCTTCCCTCAAACTCTTTCAGTCTCTATGCTTCCCCAGTCCTGCTATGTGCACCACGGCTGGGCTCATGTTCTCTTACTTTGTATCAGACATACTGTTCTAAATTTAGCAACTGAGGCACCCCAGTGTCCTTCAACAGCCCTTGGCCAATGATGGGAAATTTAGAGCCCAGTTCCATTTGAACTTTGGGCTTGCCAGGTTCCTGACAGCAAAGAGCCATCTCCCTCTTAATCTAATCACCAGTTGTGTCCCAGTCCAGGATACCCAGCAGGGAGTTGAGGAGAGGTGAGGCAGACAGGAGGAACAATGATCTATTTGAAATATGTCATTGCTCTGGGCCTTGTGTACACTGCTGCCATTGAAACAAAATCAAGTGTTCTGGATGCCCCGTTGGCTCCAGCTAATGTGCAATCATAGCTGCTGGCTCTAGGACACGTATTGTTTATTAAAGGGCACCACTGATGTTTTGGAGTCAGGGTGCATTCCCCAGGGGGCCCAGAGCAGAGGTACTTCTGCCTATAAGGATATCTGTGTGCAGCTGGGCACCCGATCCAGCAGCCATGGAAGGGGAGGTTTCCTCCAATACATTATTGGAGGTGCTGGTTCCCAGAAACAGCAGGGTAAGCGTTCAATTTCTGTATGGCAGTGGTGTTTGTTTGTTTGTTTGTTTGTTTGTTTGTTTTAAGAATGAGGGTAGAAGTGGAAGGAGGTAGGAATAAAATTTAAGAATTCATACTGGATGAAAAAGGGTGGGCAGCTGTGGGAACTAAAGTGAATCCATCCATAGATCTCACACTAAGTAAAGTGTTCATTTGGGCAAGAATTGGGGGGCCCACAAGGGACTTCTAGAAAAATGCAGGAGGGGCAATTGGGAAAGAAAGGTGCCTCATTTATCCTTTTTTGTTGACATAATTTTCTTTCTCGTTTAGAGTCATTTTGTTGAGATATCTATTGAATGCTTCTCATAAACTTGATAGAAGATCCTTGTGAGTGCCAGATCATCAGTGGGAGAGAGAGAGAGGGAGAGAGAGAGAGAGAGAGAGAGAGAGAGAGAGAGAGAGAGAGAATTTAGAACCCTAGAAATATTTTCAGAGTTACTCAAGTAATCCTGGAATCATGGACTCTGCTCATTCTCATCTAGCTCGAGCTATGGTCCAGGTTTAAGAAACTCTCACTCTAGTACAAGGATCTTACTTAAATGGCAGTAACTTTCCCATTCTTTCTGAATTAAGAATGTTGGGAGGGGCTTGGGAGAAGAGGAAAATGGGCTTTGGTATGAGCCGTGAGTCTGGGCGTCAAAATTTCAACTATGTCATAAAGACGGTCATGCAAAATTGAGTACTGGTGGGGTCTACCATCAAGGAGGCAATTAGTGGCTAACCTTGGGGCCTATTCCATCTCCAAGGAGCTCTCCACACACACATTCTGAATTAGATTGATCTCTTTCATTAACAACAATAGGCTCCAAAATACCTTTGTGTACTTATTATTACCTGGCTTTAATGGATAATGAAATTGTGGCATAATATTGCTAACACCTGAAGGGTGTCTAATGGAGAACATGGACTGAAACTAAAGTGCTTTTTCTTCCCTTTCTGTGGAATTTAAAGGCACCAGCTCCTTTAGTCCATTAAAAATGATGGGCTCTAGGTAGGGGCAGTTTCGCAGAGAGCAGTGTCTCACTGAGTTGGTGACATCCCTTCCCCCCAGAATGAGCAGAGATTGCTGCCTCTGGCATGGCCTCAGAGGGCTGACCTCAGTAGGAGAGCCCCCATGTGGGCTAACTCCACGATCCCACCCCATAGAACTACAATGCAACTAACCAAACATCTTTTGAGCTCTTATCTTTGACAGGCTCAATGGTAAGCACTAAGACACAAACATGAATAAAACAAGGCTCCTGATACTATTATACGCCTCAAAATCTTCCCAGGGAGACATAATAACAATAACCACAAATGGAGCATTTTCTCTATGTCAGGCACCATTTTAAGGGCTTGTACATATAATCCTCACTTCTGTATGAAGTGGGTGCTCTAAGTATCTGTAGTTTTACAAATGGCTGAATTGGGGTGCAGAAAAGTTATGCAACTTACCCAAGGCTACAGTGTGACTGATGGAGCCTAGAATTGAACCCAGGCAATCTGACTCCAGAAACTATGTGCCTAATTCTATATGATAATTACACAAAATTAAACATAATCCCATCTATTTCAGCCCATTCTTTGGCATCTGTCCACTGTGTTCCTAGTGCTGCCATAACAAAGTAGCACAAACTGGATGACTTTAAACAACAGAAATTTATTCTCTTACAGTTTTGGAGGCTAGAAGCCTGAAATCAAGGTGTCAGCAGGGTTGGTTTCTTCACAGGCTCTGAAGGAGGATCTGTTCCTTGCCTCTCTCCTAGCTTCTGGTGGATGACTGTGATCCTTGACATTTCTTGGCTCCTAGATGTGTCACTCCAATCTCTGCTTCTATCGTCACATGGCCTTCTCCTTTGTGTGTCTCTTCTCTTCTTAAAAGCAAACTAGTCATATTGGATTAAGGGCATGCCTTCTCCAGTAAGACCTTGTCTTAACTAACTAGACCTGCAATGATCCCATTTCCAAATAAGTCACATTCTGAGATTCCAGGAAGGACAGAATTATTGGGCAGGGCAGTGGGGTGCATTATTCAATCCAGAATAGTCCGCCAACCTCTGGCTTCCAAAAATTTATGTCTGTCCCACATGTAAAATACATTCATCCTATGACAATAGCCCCAAACATCTTAACTCATTTCAGCTCCAACTCTAAGACCAAAATATCATCTAAATATAAACTCAAACATATCTAAATCTCAGCATCTAAATCAGGCATAGACTCTGGGTATGGTCCATTCTGAGGTAAACTTCCTCTCCATCTGCAGACTCGTGAAACATCTAACCACCACAGTTTGGGTCCTCATCCCATAAGACAGGGTAGGGGAGAGGTGTAAAGGATGAGACCTGTCCTACTGACAGTCCTAACTCCGATATTTAGGATAGTGCTTGACACTCTGTTCATGCTCAATTAATGTTTCTTGAACAAGGGAATAAAGGGCTTTTGAAAATCAAATGAGATAATGAATACACAACTGAAAACTGTGTGATAAAATTAGTATTTCTTTAGGCTGCACTGGTCTCGTAGAGAAAATTTGCCTAGTCCATAACATTGCCCCCTATGTCAGCCCCAAGGGAAAAGGCAGATTCTCTGTTCTTGAAGAAAACTAAAACTGTAGGTACTGTTTGATCTGTCCTAAGAGTGGCAACATCCTTGCTAAAGGTAAGAGAATGGATGAGGTAGTTTTAGAGGGCCTATCTTTTTAAAAGCCAAACAGACAGGAGAGTTTTCTGCTTTGTGTTACAGCAGAAGCACATTGTCTCTCCTTGTACCTATGTTCCCCCTCTACTTTCAGCTACTGTTGATATTCAGTGAGAAATATCCTCCTGGCAGGACCAGCTACATAATTTGTGGGACCTAGTGCAAAGTGAAAATGCAGGGCCTCTTGTTAAAAAATTATTAAGAACTTCAAAATGACACCGGCAGAGCATTAAACAAAGCGCAGGGCCCTTCTAAGTGTGGGGGCTCTGTGCAACTGCACGGGTTGCACGCTCGCCCATGAAGCCGGCCTGCCTCCCAACCTCTCAGCTCTTGTCACACCTCTCCTCTGGTAACTGCACTTTCTTGGAAATCAGAGGTCCCGAGGAGCCACACCACCCACCCTTGGTTCTGACTCAAATTTACATTCACTGTCTACATCAGCCTCTGGATGGAAAGGAGTCATCTCAGCATGCGCTATTTACAGAGGAACTTTAAAGAGTACAACAGATCATCTCAACTGTACCCAAGATGTTTGGCAAGGCAAAAGTAAGCTGCCCTTTTACATAGGAAAAATCGAGGCATGGACAGGTTAAATACCTTCACCTGGTGTTGCTTGAACAAGCACATGTAGGCACTGGAACCCTGTTCCCTTGACTACATCTGGTTTCTTTCCACTTAACCAATGTGCTTATCTGCAGTTTCCTTTAGGGAGGTATTCTTTTATTTTTCATCCCCTTCATGTAATAGCTGCCATGAAGTCTCTAGGAGGTCTTCTACTCCTACCCACCAGAGACAGCAGGCGTGGTCACCCCCCCACCCACCATCTCATATGGCTAGATCACCCATAGTTTAGGCTGGGACCACAGTACAGGACCCCTGTGGGCTCTGACCACTTGGATCTCTTCTTGCTGCCCCCTCCTAACCACAGCCAGCTCAGTCACAGCATGATGAAGGGAGCTGGAGAGGTGCGGGTTAATGACGGTTCATTTTGTTGTTGTTTTTCTTGTTGATTGCATCTTGGTAGAAATGTGTTTTAACGAAATTATTGCAAAGCAGTGAGTGTCGCTTTGGTTTGAGTATTTGCAGCCAATTATGTTCAATGTGAAAGACAACAGCCAGGCTGCAATCCGCCAAATGGCTCTGGCCTGTCAAGCTCCACTGAGTCGGTATCTGCACTCAGACCCAATGGCTGGGGGGCCCCCACTCTCATCAGCAAGATGATGTCTGGTCTTACCTAGCCAAGCCATTCCCTTGCCACCTTCTGTACCATCCCTGGCCTCTGTCTCGGTTCATTTCTATGTGATTCTCTTCCAGAGCAGGTGACAGAGGTGAGCAAGAAGAACCCTGAACTCAACTCAGAAGTCTGGTCAGATCAAGAGTTATAGCTATGCTGTATGAGAAAAGAACACTGGGTTTAGAATCAGCTCTGCCACTTACCTTACTTAAGGGGGCTGAGCTTTATTTGTTAAAATTTATAATGTGGGGATATTATATTACCTCCCAATAAGCTTGCAGTGAAGATTTAACCACATCACATGCAGTAAAGCATCTAGTGTACTCTCTAACATATAGAAAATTTTCAATCGTTTAGTAAATCAGAGAAATGGGATATTTCAGACATCATTTTTTCCCAAATTCAACAACAAAGGGCCCAGTCCATTCATTTGTTTAGTAAACATTTATTGACTATCCACTATAAAATAGGTGTTATCTCTGACTCTGCAAGAGATTAAAAAAACATCACTGCTTTCACCATCAAAGGGCCCTGTCATTCCCTGGTTTCTCTCCAGGAAGGATGAGAATAGTTAGTGTTTACTAAAGATACTTCTTCTCACCATCTCAGAGAAGCTAGATGTAAAAAAAAAAAATGACAGCAACAATCATAATAATTTAATGAGACTAATTCCCAGCTACAAAAGCCACTTAGCATCTCTGTGAGCCCAGCTGTACTACGGTCATCACTGGATATCTTCAACTGGCCCCTGATGCCTTCAGCTGGCCCCTGATGCAGATTCGTTTTCATTTTCCTCTGCCTTTGTGCTCCTGGAGACTTGAGCTGGGGCCTGCAGAGATGGGATCCCTGGTCATGTTTGGCCAGTAGGGGATCAGGGGAGCAGTGGGAGAAGATTGGAGTGAATGGGGTGCTTATCTCTCCATGTTCCTTTCTGTGGAGTTGCCACCAGGCTGAATGTGTCCTTAGGAGGAAGATACAACTCCTGTCCAGCAGCCCTCTCCACATGGCTTTCCCCTCAGGTCCCAGTCATGTTCCTAGTCCCTGGCCCCTTAATGTGTTTTAACGAAATTATTGCAAAGGTAGGAACAGCTTATCCAGTCCACTCAAATCTCTGGGGCACTGCTCTCCTTCTTGTCATTTCCCTATCCCCTCCCACACCTTATAAACAGCCTATTAAGCTCTTCTCAAATTTCCCAATTTAATTGTGCTATTCCTGCCCTGACTCCAACAGATACACAGGTGCTAAGGAGCTTGCATTCCAAGTAAGAAGATAGACTAAACCAAAAATAATACAGTATGTTACATAGTAAGTGGTTTAAGAAGAAAGATTTTGGTGTAAGACCTGGTTTTAAAACAGTTTCTCACTCACCAGCTATGTGAGTTTTGAAAAGCAATTCATCTCTATGAACCTCAGTTTCCTTATTTATAAAATAAAGATAATAATATCCAGCCCTTAGAGTTGCTGTGAGGATTGAATAAGACAAAACATATGAAACATTTTGTCTGGTGCCTGGCAAACAGCAAGTGCTAAATAAATAGTAGCTTCTTATTATAATTATTAATATTAATATTAGCTCTATGTAAAAGTTTGAAATATTTTTCTACTTTCTAAACCACAAAATAGTCTTCTATTTCTAAACTACATAGACTTTTCGTATTATACAAAAAATTGGGATTTCAGGGTGAGTTCTTGGCTGTGGGTTTGGCCAAGCATTAGTCCATCGGCTTACATCTTCTTCTCAACAGATACCTTCTCCCTGGCCAGGTAATGATTCGCAGACACCTGCTGGTCTACCTCATGAGCCTGCTGATTCCCAGCATCTTCTTCATGCTCGTGGACCTGCGCTTCTACCTACCCACAACTTGCCGTGCCAGGATTGTGTTCGAGACCAGCATACTGGTGGGCTACACTGTCTTCAGGGTCAACATGTCCGACAAGATGCCACAGAGCGCAACAAGCGCCCCTCTAATTGGTAAGCAGCCTTGGGGTCACTGGACACCCACCTTATCTGACTCCTGTCAAAGATCTGCTTTTGCATTTCAGCTTGGGGAGGGAGAAGCCCCCGAGGCTGCAGCTAATTCCACCTTCTCCCGTTCCTTCCCTCAGGGGTCTTCACAGTCTGTATGGCCTTCTTGGTTCTCAGCTTATCTATGTCCATCTTGTTGGTCAAATTTCTTCACGACCAGCGGTACAGTTGGCAGGAGTGGCCCCTCTTGTGCCTTCAAGAGACACTGATGCTGATTGGCCTAGAATGGATCCCAAGGCCCAGCTTGCTGGGATGACAGGTTTGTGAGAAGCTCTGAGGTCCCTACCCTGTTTTGCTTTATCACCCTCAGCACGAGCTCCCATTGGTGAAACACCAAGTCATGTGTCCAGCTGTGTGAAAATTTGAAACACCTGCCTCTTAGCCTCTGCACTGCATTTCACATGACCTCTCTGGAGATGGAAAGCTGCCTCCTGCTGGCTTTCTAGAAAGTCTCATTTTAGTTTGGAGGTCATATCTTTAATCCCCTTAGCTTGTTTTATTTTCTAGGTTCAACCAAAAACATAAAGTGACTGAGCCATTGACTCCAGAATAGTAGTGCCATACGCAATGCGTGTATATATCTTTAGATTCTAGTAGCTTAATATGAAAAGGTTTAAGAATGATCCCAGCCACTAAAGCTGCAACTGAGTCAACATGGGCTGGTCCTTAGCTCAGAAAATCTCTAGATGGATTTAGCCTAGACTCCTTACAAACACAGTTCTGCCATGTTCTCCGGGGCTTACTTCAGCACAGGCTTGCCTCCCCTCAGTAAGTAGGGAGAGAGTCCCCAACCCCAACTCAACCCTCTGCCAAGTTTTGCCCATAATCTTCCTTAAAGGATGAGGCCATTAGCCTCAGTGGAAAGTCCGGGAGGACTTTGATGGCACCTCATTCACCTAAGGTATTTTTCTCTCTCACACAGAGTCCCCTGTCTGTTGAGACCACCAGGCTCAGTAAGGCACCCTGAATGAAGTCTTATCCCAGCTTCAATCTATCAGCAACTACTTCTGAACCCAAGACCAGGCTGGCTGGCCCTCCTGGAACACTTTGACCACCTGCTCTTTCGAGGCTACCTTGTCATGCTGGGACTCTACACCATCACCCTGTGCTCCCTCTGGGTGCTTGGAGTGGCTTGTGAAGATCAAAGTCGGCTGGTCTCAGTCAATGTGCTCTCACAGCACTTGGGGAAATCTGAAATTGGAGGGGAGAAACAGTGGGTTTAAAAGCTCTCCAGCCCCTGTTGCCTCTTTTCATTCAGTCCAGGTATGCACACCTAATTTTATCAATAGCTCATTAGGTGTGCATACCTGGACTGAATGAAAAGAGGTCATGATAAAAATGGTCATGATAAAAATGCATAAACAGTACAAGGTATATAGTGAAAAATACGCCTGACTCCTTATCTGAGTTCACTCCCCAAAGTGACCACTATTAGCAGTCTCTTTCAGAAAATTTCTAGGCACGTACAAGCATACATGTATGTTTTAGCAGGTTTTGTTTTTGTTTTTTTTTTTAAGCGTAGTATCCCTTCATTTCCCAATCCTTGCTTGGTTACTCATTTAGTCAGTCATTCAACAAAATCTTTATTGAGTGTCAAATTCTAGGCATTGTATTAGGTACACCAGAAAATAAGTTAGTCACAGAACATTTTTCACTTGACTTGATTCCTGAGGTCAACCTTATATCAACCAAAACACAAAATTCCACCATATCAGTATCCTGAAGCTCTTGTTCCACTATCCCAGTTGAGTCCATCTTCCCCTGCGCTGCCTCAGCAGTGCATTACTATGGCACTGGGAGTCAGGTGCCGAGGCTTCCAGGCCCAGCCTAGCACATTTAGTCAATACACACCATGGATAAGGCACTGAACTGGAAGATAGGTTTAATGCATGGCCCTTGGTTCAAGAAATTTATAATCTGCTATCTTTGTATTAGTCTGCTTGGGCTGCCATAGCAAAATACCACAGACTGAGTAGCTTAAACAGAGATTTATCTCCTTACAGCTCTGGAGTCTAAGTCCAAGATCAAGATGATGGCAGGGTTGAGGCCTCTCTCCTTGGCTTGTAGGTGGCTACCTTTTCCACATGTCTTCACATGGTCTTTCCTCTGTATGTGTATCTGCATTCAAATTTCCTCTTGTTGGTTTCTTCTGAGGCCTCTCTCTTTGGCTTGTAGGTGGCTACCTTTTCCGCGTGTCTTCACATGGTCTTTCCTCTGTGTGTGTATCTGCATTCAAATTTCCTCTTATTAAAAGAACAATAGTCATATTGGACCCGCACTAATGGCTTCGTTTAACCATAATTATTTCTTTATAGACCCTATCTCCAAATACAGTCATATTGTGAAGTACTGGGGGATTAAGGATTTCAACATAGAATTTTGGGGAGACACAAGTCAGTCCATTACACTGATGTGATTGTGGAGGCTGAAAAATCCAAAATCTTCAGGGTAGACCAGCAGGCTGGAGACCCAGAGAAGAGTTGTGACTTGAGTCTAAAGGCAGTTTGCTGGCAAGGTTTCCTCTTTTTCTGGATAGATCCGTCTTTTCCCGTTAAAGCCTTTAAATGATTGGATGAGGTCCACCCACGTTTTGAAGGATAATCTGTTTTACTCAAACTCCGATTTAAATGTTTATTCTATTTTAAAAATAAAAAAAATACCTTCACAGAAACATCTAGAATGTTTAACCAAATATCTAGGTACTGTGGCCTAGCCAAGTTGACACATAAAATTAACCATCACAGTTCCAATGGCCCCTTAGCTTTCTACCTATGCCCACAGCTACTTGTTCAGAACAGAAGAGCTCTGATCACCTGGCACCTGAGTAACTAATCAATTTCTGACTCATACTCTTCAGTAGCCAAATCTGTATTAATTGGTCTATCTTTTGTCTTCATAACCTGAATCCTAAGGTTAGAATTCAAGCCTTCTGTGAAATTTCCCTCCCCTTATATTTGACTTTCTTCACTTCTCATTCTTCCTATTATAGAGTCTTCAGTCTAGCCAAGCCAACTTGCTTGCCACCCTGTTCAGGAAAGGCTTTATTTACACCTAAGTCTCTACTTTTAGTTGGCATACTCTTCTTTGTTTCACCAACCTGTATGTCGCTGAGAACCCTGCTCAAAACATCCTTATTCCCCCAACCTTTTTCACCTGATCGTCTCATGACTCTGTCCCTCTTCTCTATCTTTAGTCTGACATTACCTTTTATCCTTCTCCCTTTGAACATTTTATAGCTCTGTGTATGTTTGTGTGCGCATGTGCATCATTTATCAGATAGATCACACACTACTAGAATTGTAATCTCGTTTTCCATTTCTAGTTTATCTCTCATCTCTGCTCAGGTCCATATAGAGTTTTGCTTATGGTGATTCTGCAATAACTATCACAGAACAACTTATTCTAGCTCCTTGATGATGGCGGACATATTTCTAGTGTGTTTTCCCAAGTCTAAAGGACAAAATCTACCAGTCCCTCAGTGTCACCCAGTCAGGGCAGCCATCAGGAGTTGATGGGTTGTGTGTTTTCCCAAGTCTAAAGGACAAAATCTACCTAAGGTCAGATACCCAGTCCCTCAGCATCACCCACTCAGGGCAGCCATCAAGAGTTGATGGGCAGAAGAACCCACTGGGTTAAATGACAGTCATCTCTCCTAATGCTGCCACAAAAGACACAAAAGTCCAAAGTCGTTTTCTAGAAACTTTTTCCAGCACTAAAATTGCCTTTAAAAAAATCTGCTCCCCTTCACTCCCCCCTGAAGAAAAAGAATTTAAATTCAAACAGCCTTTACCTGCATCCTCCTTCTCTCATTACCTCCCAGTTAGTGCTCAACGCCAATTGTCCATGAAATTCCACTGCTGCTGTTAATGAAATGAGGAACATAAGAAGTTTGTGAACAGGAAGTGTCCACTCAAACATCCACCTGTTTCCCTCCTCACTTCCTACTTTCTGCTACTGGCTTCCTCTGCCTGGACCTGCTCAGTTAGCCTCTAAATTGATCCCTATATCTCTCTTCACGTACTCATTTATGAGAGGAAGAAAAGGTCTGCAATGAACTCCCTACTATGGAGTCTCCTTCCTTTCCAACCGTGTCTTGGAGAAAGCACCTGATTTTGGCCCTGGCTCTATCACGTTCTAGCTGGGGGACCTTGAGGTTAACTTCTCAGAGCTTCAGCTTACCCTATCTGACAATGGGGCTGCTTATACTTACTCTACTATATCACATAATTTGGGGGATCAGAATAAGGCAATGTATTTTACAGCACTTTGAAAAGTAAGTACAACACAAAATAAAAATAAGACCTGCCTGCTATCAACAGATGGATTTGTCTCTAGTGTGAGATCCCACTTTAGCTACCTCTCTCAGAATCCAGTTATGGGCTCTAGTTCTCCCCAGAAGTGTCTTTATTCCAGGATCCCAAAGTCAAGGGCTAAAGCCATCACATGCTTCCTTGTAGGGGATTTAAATGGTAGGGACTGCCAAAGGGACTTTCCATTCTACTTCCCACACGATCCACCTTTGCTCTCTTCCCAGGTCCTTTATGTCAGCCTATAAGAAACTGCCCTTCAGGATTGAAGCTGGGCCCCAGTATGACTCTCCTCTGTCCATGTGCCAAGTGACCCTGATCTCAACGTGGCAGCCAGGAACTCATTCTAAGCCCCAAGATCAGGTCTGCAACCTGAAACAATGCCATTATTAACAAATGGTACTAGTGATCTCCTCCTGGAATGGTGTCCCTCTGCAGGGGGAGGAAGATGGGGTGTCAGCAGCCCTTATTTACAGAGCAGCTTTAGCTCAGCCCCTCCAAATGTTTATAAATTTCATGATTCCTATTTCATAGGGGAAGAAAACTGAGAAACAGAGCAAAAATGCGATTTTCCCAGCTGTGAATTCTCCTACCATCTGCTGTTTCCCAGAATCTAAGGTAGTTTCAGCATTCCCCAAGAAATCACAGCCCCAATTCTGGGGATTTCACTGCCGTCTAGATAAAAAGTTAGTTAAGCACAGCCCCAGGCTAGACAGGCAGCCCTCTGTTCATCACTACATATCAAAATAACTTCCAAGTGCTGCTGTTATGATCTCCCATAGCATCCACAGCCTTTTGCATGGCCATTACTTAGGTGGCAGAAGGACTCACTCTCCTCCCAAGACATCCCCGTTTCCTTCTTGGGTTGTGCTAGAGGTGAGGAGCTTTTATGGTTAAGAAAGTTGAGCCCTTCACCTTTTACATGTCTGCGACCCATCCATCTCTTGTGGTCTGGCTTTGAGCCTGAATGGGTAAGCCCAGGGAGCACACCAAGGAGCTGCCAGCATGAAACTGGCCCTGACAGAGTCGGCCCTCTTCTTAGCACAGCCTCGAGGGTTCCTTGATCCTCTTACTTACCAAGGATCTAATTATACATCTAAAGGCAAGGTTGGTAGAAGAGGGTAGAGCTTACATTTTTACCCTACCTGTGGCTCTGTGGTGTCTAGAAAACTTCAGATCTTGGGTTTTCAGGTAACGAATTCCTCCACCAATTTCTGGATGGTGGGTTGTCACCCCAGGGCAGAGACCCCTGTTCCCATGTTCCTTCCAGGAAGGCTATGCCTCCCTTCCTGCATCCCCATTTGTGTTCTGAGGCCCATTTCAGGCATCTCCCCATCCTATTCCCTGGCTCACACTCCATCTCAGCAGCCAGAACCTCTCAGTCCTGAGTTATTTACCTGCCGAGACAGTAAGAGCTTCGTAATTAGCTGAGCAACAGCATGGAGGCTTTTATGAGCAGCCACACCCCCCACCACACTCTGGGGTCTGTAATTGAAATGACCCACACCAGTGATTAGATTAGGGGGCTGAGCTGCTCAGCATGCTGCCCCCAGCCCCCTCCCTCATCCTGTCAGGGGGGTGATGTAGTTAAGTTTGTGCTTCATTTGGCAGAGGCCATAAAGCAGGAATTACAGGCGGAGTTTCTGCAGGGGTGGAAAGGGACTGCTGGGCAATGGGCAGGCTCTGCGTCAGGCACCAGACTCCAGATCTGGAGGTAGGGGGAGCCCCCTGCTGCCCCTTCACCTTGATCTCACTACCTCTCCCCTAGCCTAGTGCCAGGCTGCAAAGACCTGGAGCCCTTGTAGGCCTAATGGGATTATCATCCCTTCTCAGTGTCACTAGGGATCAGGCTGCAAGTGCACAGCCAGCTCTTGGTCAGACCCTGCTCTGGGTCACCCTGCCAATTCTCTCTAGAG